AGAAACTCAGGGAAGAGGGGTTGGGTTTAAATGCCATTCCTTCCCTTCCCCAGATGGGCAAGGAAAAGAAAGGCATTCTAAACATGCCTGGGTTCCCTGCCCGATCATGCATGCCTGCCTTTTGTCAGGGGGTGTGGCATATGCAAACGAGTGTTTTGCTATTATGCTAATATGCTAATGAGTTCCTGCTGGGCATTTTCTACAAAAAAAGAGAGCCCTGCCTGTGTAATTTATCAAGTTGATATCTCTGGTACCTGGCATTACATTTTATGGCAGGCCCGGCCCGGCCTGACAAAGTAACCCCTATGTCAGATCCGGCCCTTGTAACGAACGAATTTGACGCCTCTGACCTTGAGCCTCACCAGGAATCCTGGTGCTGTAGGTGATCTCTCTCCCCCCCACCCCTGCCATTGCAGCCCAGCGAGTTTGAGGAGGAAGCGGCTCGACAAGTGGACGACCTTCTGGAAAGCTACATGGGTATCCGTGACGTGGAACTGGGTGAGTAAAGGGATGGCCGTTGGCCACCCCCTCCCACATTGTCCGGAGGGGCTGTTGCATTTCTGTGTATTAAAGTCACCCAGGCCCTGCCAGGAAAAATAATTGGTTGCAATGGAGGGGGGGGGAAGGAGAGCTTGTCTGTAATCCTAATTCCGGGCCCAGGGATTTGTCACACTGGAATTCTATGACTAGCGTTCCAGATGTGAAATTTGTTTTTAAAGAACAGCTGCCGGGAAGGGGGTGGTACGGACCGGAGCCGCAGCACTGGGGTTTCAATGACAGGACATTTTGGAGATCATTCATTCACTGGGTTGCCATATATCAGAAGCGACTTGATGGCGCATAACACATACACACCCCACGGGGAAGACCAATATTTCAGCAGGGGCTTGATTAGGGCCCACTGGTCAGTTTACAGCAAAGTTGAATTCTGTCTTTTAACCTACACCAGAGCGGAAGTAAGTATTGTCCTAATTTTGTGTGACCTTTAAAAAATTTTTTTTTAAGATTGTATGCATTCGGTATGCTTATGCAATTAAACGTACATTTGTCCCCCCCCCCTTTTAAAAAAGCTTCGTCTGTTTTAGAAATGTTGAAAATTGTTTTTGGCAAAGTGGGTTAGTGATGGCACTGGTATCCAGCCAGTCGGCCCTGTGCACAATCAGTTATTGCTGCAGATATGTAGACCTAAGTAACTGGAGCTCAGCTGGATAGGGAAGATGGTTTGTTTCTGAACCAACAAGCCAGGAGGAAGAATATGGGGGATGAAAACAGGAGGAAGGGGAGCCTGTTGCATACACATGCTATATGCTAATGGCTTCCACAGCATCAACCATGGTGGAGATGGCCAAGGAGCGCCAGAGTCCTGAACAATTTTCCCAGGGCCTTGATTCGCTGCTGGGTGAATTTGCATTTCCAGATGAGTTTGTGGCGGAGGTCTGGACAGCTATCTGCGAAGCCAGGGGGTGCTCCAAGTAGCAGGTGTACAGTGGGCTTGTGGAGGGTAGGCCCTCTTCATCACCCCAGTCATCCTCCTCAGCCTGGCCCTAGAATGCCCTGTGCCTCCCATTCCGTCCCTGTTTTCCTAGTCTCCTGGTTCTGTTTCAAAGTTGCATTCAGAAGTTCAAAATATTCCTAAAGGCAAACTGGAATTTCAGGGTTTGGCTAGATTTTCAAAAGATGGGTGAGATGTCATTTCAGCTGTAGCCCTTTTTTTGAGTATCCCAGCATCAGATGTTGGGGTCCTGTGAACAAAGCCTTGAAGAGACTGACCTTGAGTAGGAATAATTCAGCTTCAAGACCTGGGACAGCTCCCAGGGAAGGCAGATGTTGCTCCCATTCCGCATCAAGACCTGGGACAGCCCCTGGAGAAGGTAGAGTTTATCCCCATTTGAGATCAGGACCTTGAACAGCTCCCAAGGAAGGCAGATGTTGCTCCCATTCCGCATCAGGACCTGGGGCAGCTCCTGGGGAAGGTAGAGTTTATCCCCATTTGAGATCAGGACCTAGGACAGCTCCCGAGGAAGGCAGATGTTGCCCCTAGTCCGCTTCAAGACCTGGGACAGCTCCCAGGGGAGGCAAATGTTGCTCCCACTATAATATGAGTTCAGTTGAACACCAATAACAGCCAAATAACCAGCTGCATGCCCAACCCTCCCCTTAAGAATGTATCCAGCAGGCATATGAAAGGGGGGAGAATCCAACATGAGGCGGGGGCTAACATATGTGCAATTCAGGACAGTCTGCAGTTTCATCTCCCATAGCTTAACCCTGGCGTCTCCTGTTCCCTCCCCCCATCTTTGCAGCATATTTGATGGACCTACTGGCCAGCAAATCAGACTCTGATCTAGTGGTTTGTCCTGCCCCACCCTGTTTGTTGTAGGCAGGCTCTGACCTCCCGCCCCCCCCTTTTAAAGCGCCGCATGTATTCAATATATTTATTCAATTAAATGTACACTTGACCACTTTTTTAAAGGGAGAATCCATCTGAGAAATCTTGAAAAACTGCTTTGGGGACTGGGGAGTTAATGATCCGGTAACCCAACGCTGTGCACAGCTACAAAGAAACATAGGACTGCATGAACAAAACAAGGCATGCACATTTCTGCAACAGCTGCACTGCTGAAAGAAGCCGACATTAAAAACCACAAGACTCGAAAACTAGTGGGAGAATGTTTTAACCTTCCAGGTCGTTTCACTGCTGACCTAAGTATGGCAGTTCTCAAACAAAAAAAAACTTCAAGGGGAACTTACAACGTGGGATTGCTGAACTCAAGTTAATTCACAAGTTCAGAACAATGGACCCGTCCCCGGGGCTAAATAAGGACATAGGATTCTTATCTCACTACAAATGCTAATTTTCTGCCCCCAGGCTCTCGTCAAGATGATAACAAAATACATTGCACATTCGCATCCTTTGCGAGCGTTCTTCACTATACCCTTCCCACCTGCTGACTAATAATAATAACGGTCATATGGCATTGTGTGTAGAATGGCCAGGAGATCCTAATGTTGTCTGGCAGACAAAAGTTCTAGCTCTTTTAGCGTTATGTACCACTAGGTGGCGAGCTAGACTTGTTTTTAAGGCAAGAGATGTTTCAGAGGTGGTTTGCCATTGCCTGCCTCTGTGTCACGCCCCTGGTATTCTGACTAGGATAAAAAGACTCAGCACCATCCCTACTCTTGTCTAACAAAGTGAGGTTTGAACAATGAAGGGTTATACCCTGAAACCCTTGTTGGTCTCTTAGGTGCTACTGGACTTGAATCTAACTAATTAATTAGTTAATTGTCATATGGCACTGTGTGTAGTATAGCCAGGAGATCCTAAGATTGTCTGGCAGCTAGAAGTTCTAGCTCTTGTAGTGTTATGCACCACTGGGTGGTGAGCTAGACTTGTTTTTAAGGCAAGAGACATTTCGGGGGTGGTTTGCCTTTGCCCGCCTCTGTATCGCAGCCCTGGTATTCCTTGGGGGCCACCCTTCCAAATACTAACCAAGGCTGACCCTGCTTAGCTTCTGAGATCTGACAGGATTCAGCTAGCCTGGGCTATCCAAGTCAGGGCTTCAATCTAACTGCTGAAAAGATACACATCTGAATCAGTGCTCCCTCTAAGCTGTGGAGTCTTGTGAGCAAAAATTCTACTTTTGTGAGCTACTGGCATTCATGTTGTGAGCGAGCGATTTGGCTACTGCATAAATCAGTTTGCTCTGGAGCCGTCCTTCCTGAGCTGAAACAAAAAATGTGTGAGCCGGAGGCTAAACAACGATAAGCTAGCTCACACCAACTCAGAGGGAACACTGATCTGAATGCACCCTGCTGGGCTGCTGGGTATGCATTCTTTGCTACAGGCAGACCTGAGGGGACGGTGGAGAAATGGTGCCAATTCTGGTTCAGCCAATGTCGATCCGGAACCTGCAGCCTCAGTGCAGAGTCGGGCATTGATGCCTTGTTCCGGATCACCTGCAGAACGCACACCCTGCTGTGGCATACGAGATCCCTGGAACACCCATCGCCCATCTGTGCTTAGTGGAGAAATCCAGGATCTCGGATGTGATTGCTTATCCTCAGGGGTCATTTCCTGCGGGAGCGCACAGGAGCGGAGCTCCAACAGTAAGGAGCCCAGGAGGTGGGCACATGCAACAAGCCCCACCCCCTGCTCCCAGCAGCCCTCAGTCAGAGCAAGAAGCAGCCAGGTAAGTTGCAGAGCCCCCACCCCTGCCTTCAGGTACAAGCTCTCCCTCCTCTGTGAGGGCAGATCTGTGCGTTCCCCCCCCCCATAGCTAGCAATACAAAACAGTCCAGTGGCACCTTTAAGACCAAGTTTTATTCAGGTACAAGCTCTCCCTCCTCTGCGAGGACAGATCTGCATGTCCCCCCCCCCATAGCTAGCAGTACAAAACAGTCCAGTGGCACCTTTAAGACCAAGTTTTATTCAGGTACAAGCTCTCCCTCCTCTGCGAGGACAGATCTGCATGTTCCCCCCCCCCGTAGCTAGCAATCCAAAACAGTCCAGTGGCACCTTTAAGACCACGTTTTATTCAGGTACAAGCTCTCCCTCCTCTGTGAGGACAGATCTGCACGTCCCCCCCCAATACCTAGCAATCCAAAACAGTCCAGTGGAGCCTCAGCAGTGGGTGTTGCCTTCTGACACACTTCCGGCGATGTCAGGGGGTGTGGCATATGCAAATAAGTTATGCGAATGAGTTATACTAATGAGCTCTTGCTCCTCTTTTTCTACGAAATGACCTCTGGCAACGGCAAACCACCTCTGAACATCTCTTGCCTTGAAAACCCTACGGGTTCGCCATACGTCAGCTACGACTTGGTGACAATGGACACCAAGTTATGCTAATGAGCTCCTACACCTCTTCTTCTACGAAATGACCCCTGGGACCCCCGTACAAACCCTTCTTCCCCCCGGCTCCCCCCCCCCCAAAAAAAAAAGACAGCGATCGCAGGCACAAAATACCATAGGATTTATTACCACAATGTTCACGCATGCTGCCTCCGTACATTTTGACATGCTCGTATCCTCCTGCCGTCTCCCTTCCCCGTTTGTAAGTCTGCTAAACCACACACACACACACACACCCAAGTCGGTCAATCAGCTTGGGTCTTCCGTTACTGGCTTAAAGTGTCCATCCGTCCGTTTATGCCAGGCCAGGGCCAGGGGCAGGATCCAGAGGGCCCAAATTAGGTGGTTGGCTTCCATATCTCCTCAGGAGAACAGAGAATCCCCCGCTTCTTCCACCCCCATGTGGTCCACATGGTACAAGGCGGGAGCAGCAAGGAATTCTGGGATAGGTCCTTTCCGCTGGGTTTGGTAAGATGCTACGTCAAGGACTACTGGTGCGGCTAGCAGGGCTGAATGTCAGGCCTGGGGTGAGGGAGACACAGACGGGGTGGCACGGGGCAGGGGCTGGGGACATGCTCCCAGCATATTGCAAGGGCCCGGTTCAAGCGATAGAAGGGGGATAGGAGGAAGGCTATGATTATAGCCACTGGGCGCTGCCTTCATTTGGGGGAGGGACCACAGAATCGAGCCGTCCTGCCCCTTCTTACTGGAGCACAGACTCCTGGGTAAACTTCTGCCGCAGTGAGGTGTTGAGGACTGGGTAGAGGGAGACGATGGAGGGGCGGGTTTTGAGGCTGGGGTAGATGCGCTTCAGGACCGCCCGGCGGAAGAGGATGTAGACCCAAGGATCGAGGATCTGGTTCCAGGTGGCCACCCGCAAGTAGATGAGCAGTGAGTTCTCCGTCTGTCGGGAGATATGATCGGCATTCTGAAGGGCCGTCTGTACGATGAAGATCTGAGGGGGAGCAAAGAGAAGCCCTTAATCCAAATATCACAGAACAGTGTTGTCGCGGTTTCCCGGACTTCCAACTGACTGAATTTTCGCCCCTGAATTTAAAAAATTGGAAACATTCTGTATCCTTACGACAAAGGAAACCTCTCGTTCTCTGCTGGACGTGTCTCTCGATGAGGGCAGTGACTCGCACAGAGATGCAACAGGCCGCCTCTTTTGAGGGCAGGCAGTATGCTGTATCAGGAGTGATGGGATGAGCTAACGAGCTCAGCGTAGAGGTGGGGCAGGCCCAAGAGACTTAATTGGGAGGAGGCAAAGCAAGAACAGTAAACCATGCAGAGACATGACAGGCAACCTCCTGTGTATGTGGATGTTGAGCCTGCATACTGTAAAAAAATATATATCTTCACATGGTCCTGGCACAGCAGCTATCTCAGGGCACAGTTTGTAAATTATTATTATGACAGATAATTTGTAGTACATCCTGCCTGTTAAACTACTGGAGAGGATTTCTTGCCAGCTCATCAACTGGTTATTGAACCCACTGAACTTAAACCAGTTTCTCTACACCAATGACTTTCCTCTCGAGGAGAATCTCTACTGAAGGTAACTTTTGACACTTGACTCTGGGGACTTAATTTAGCTACAAAAAGTAGCCAACCAGGAGGAGGAGGAGGAGGAGGAGGGGGAGGAGGAGGAGGAGAAGAGATTGAATTTATACCTCACTCTTCACTCAGATTCTCAGAGGGGCTTACAAACTCCTTTCCCTTCCCTTCCCCACATCAGACACCCTGTGAGGTAGGCGGGGCTGAGAGAGCTCTTTCCAGAACTGTCCTTGAGAGAACAGCTCTGACAGAACTATGGCTTGCCCAAGGTCATCCAGCAGCTGCAAGTGGAGGAGTGGCGAATCAAACCCAGTTCTCCCAGATTAGAGTCTGCTCACTTAAACACTACACCAGACTGGGAAAGGGAGTGGGGTCCTATTTGGCCCCATGCCATTTTGAAGTCCCAGTAGGAGGAAAAACTAAACAAAGCCATTTTCAATTAGAGAAACAGAAGAGGAGGAGAAACGTCCGTCGTGCCTCGACCAGGGCCAGGGCTTTTTCTGCCCTGGCCCCAGCCTGGTGGGACCTGCTCCCTATTGCGACCAGGGCCCTGCGGGATCTTCTCCAATTCCGCAGGGCCTGTAAGACAGACCCGTTCCCACCAGGCCTTCAGCTGAGGCAGTGGACGTCCATGCGTGGCCTCCCTAAGGTTTTTGCCACCCATTTTTAACAACTGCTGGCCTTTTGTAAAGGTAAAGGTTCCCTTGCTCGAAAGCCAGTCGAGTCCGACTCTAGGGTTGCGGTGCTCATCTCCGTTTCAAAGCCGAAGAGCCAGCGCTGTCCGAAGACGTTTCCGTGGTCATGTGGCCGGCATGACTAAACACCGAGGCGCACGGAATGCTGTTACCTTCCCACTGAAGTGGCACCTATTTATCTACTTGCAATTTCTTGCTTTCGAACTGCTAGGTTGGCAGGAGCTGGAACTAGAGACGGGAGCTCACTCTGTCACGCGGCACACTCGGGTCTCGAACTGCTGAACTACCGACCGTCCACAGCCTGCAGTTCAGCCTTTAGCTGTATCTTATTATAGGCCAGAACCAGTGTTCCTTCTAAGCGAAGTGAGTGTGAGTTAGGTTAAGGAGAATGTGCATCGACAAGGGACACTTAGAATCAGCACTAAATCTTCTTACCGAGAATTCAAAATTGCTAGACACTGGAGTGTTTCGAAATTCTAGCCACAACAATGACTGTATTTTTTTTTTTTTTTAATGAAGATCTTAAAAACAAAATTCCTGGAAAGAACTGCATAAATTTTCAAAGTGCCAGGCATACTTTTAACGTGAGTGGGAAATAAGGTTGCTAGCTTTAGGTTGAGAAATTCCTGACAATTTGGGGGTGGGGCCTGGGGGGGGGATGGGTTTTGGGGAGGGGAAGGACCTCAGCGGGGTACAATACCATAGAGTCCCCCCTACGAAGCTGCCATTTCCTTTAGGGGAACTGATCCCTATAGTATGGACAGGAGTTGTAATTCCGGAAGATCTCCAGGCCCCACCTGGAGGTTGAGAACCATGGCAGGAGAGTCTCAAAATGGCCATTTTGGGGGTGTTTCCTTCTTCCTCGCTGACAACATGGTGGCTCTTTGCTCGTTCTGTTTGACCAGAAGTTGGGTATTGTCAGGGGTCATTTCCTGCAGGAGCACAGGGGAGCGGAGCTCCGGCAGTAAAGAGCCCAGGGGGTGGGCACATGCAACAAGCCCCCCCTCTGCTCCCAGCAGCCCTCAGTCAGAGCAAGAAGCAGCCAGGTAAGCTGCAGAGCCCCCCCCGGCCCCCCCGGTCCAAAACAGTCCAGTGGCACCTTTAAGACCAAGTTTTATTCAGGCACAAGTTCTCCTTCCTCTGTGAGGAGAGATCTGCACGTTCCCCCCCCCCAATAGCTAGCAATCCAAAACAGTCCAGTGGAGCCTGAGTGGTGGGTGTTGCCTTCCGACACACTTCCGGTGATGTCAGGGGGTGTGGCATATGCAAATAAGTTATGCTAATGAGTTATGCTAATGCGCTCCTGCACCTCCTTTTCTACAAAATGACCCCTGGTGAAGGGTGGAGTATAAATCCAATCTCCTCCTCCTCCTCTTCTTCTTCTTTTTCTTCTTCAACATTCAACCTTCAGCCCTCCTGGAAAGCAGATACCATCGCATCCCACACCCACAACAGCGCTGACCAAGCCATGCAGGGAAAGTCAGAGTCTATCGACCATGTTCTGCCGCACCGCCCATTCTACAATGACATCCTGTCTCAGTCTATAGCTCCAGTCCTGTCAATTGTACCAGGAAGTTCTGAACAACTCTGCGGTCCTCCTTCTTGCAGATTCTTCCCAGGAGATAACCAATAAAGTGGCTACATTTTGCCTTTGGGTGTGCGGGATACGCAAGCAGGTGACTGAGTCTCAGTGATTTTACCACCCTGTTGGAGGAAGGTATCGTCGCTCCGTCCCCCCACAATCTGCACTCACTGCTCTGTGCTTGTCGCACTGCATGCGCCCCCTCTTATTTTTCTTCTTCTTAGTACTGTATTGACCAATGCTCCATCCAAACTGTGGATTCTCGTGAGCAAAAATTCTACTCTGTGAGCTACTGGCAAGCATTAAAGTCGTGAGCGAGCGATTTGGCTACTCCATAATTTCGTTTGCTCCAGAGCCATCCCTTCCTGAGCTAAGGCAAAAATCTGTGAGCCGGAGGCTAAAAATCTGTGAGCTAGCTCACAGTAACTCAGCTTAGAGGGAACACTGGTATTGACTCTCCGGAGCTGATCTTCTATCGAAATAAGCTTTGAACTGAACTGAACAGCTGGGGCCCCCAACCCCTCCCTGGCTTTTCCAGTTGTTTCCTCTTGTGTGTGTGTTTTTACGCAAGCCCTTTGACAGGACTGAGGTTCTTTAACACAAGCCAGATGGGGAAGGGACTCCTTTGTTTTCTTTCTCTGGGGAACATCCAGATTATTTCCACATTGTGCCTCCAAGCCTCCAGATGAGAGGGGAACAAGACCACATGGCAAGTTATCAGAAGTCAACCGTGGTCCAGTTTTGAGTGGTTGTTATTGGCTATTTCAGCGGCTCGGGTAGGGCTCCAGGCAGGAAAGCTGCCTGCACACAGAAGCAAATGTATCAAGGTGAAAGCGAGACTTATCCCTTTCTTCCCAACACACTTGTTTTCTCGTACGCATCCTTGGTCGGATCTGCATTTGCATTTTTAAATCAGTTTCGTGCTGCCGCGACGCCGTTCTTCTTTATGCTTGTTTGAACGTTGTTTGGAGAAGATTCTTTTAAAGCAGTGGGGAGGCGCGACGACAGGGGAGCCGCCACAAGAAGGCGATAAACATGCAGACGTGCAAAAGTACGCTAGCACTGTTGAGGTGTGAAATCGAGACCAAATGTAGACAGCTTTTTTGAAGACGGAGTCAGAAGGCGGGGACACCGGTGGGAAAGACAAATGCGGATTCGACCACTGAGTCCCATGAGGAGCCATTCAAGGCAGCCCTGCCTAGCTACTACTTCTATGAGAGCTATTCCAGGGGTCCCTGATGTGGTGCCCATCAGCCCATGGCACCCACTGACACTCCTTTGGTGTCGTGGTTAAGAGCGGCGGACTCTAATCTGGTGCACTGGGTTTGATCCCCCACTTCTCCACATGCAGCCAGCTGGGTGACCTTGGGTCAGAGCCAGGGCTATTTTGGGGCAGGAACGCACAGGAACGGAGTTCCGGCTGGCTCCCGAGTTGGCCACGCCCAGCAGGGACTCATTAGCATAATAGGCCACACCCAACAGCAGAAACTCATTCGGATTGGCTACCTTAGGGGTGTGTGGCCTAACATGCAAAGGAGTTCCTGCTACAAAAAAGCCCTGGGTTTTGACAACAAAGTAAACAGAATAAGAAGCAAAAGGTGGGTGTGGCTGGATGACCACACTTCTGGTAACATGGGGGTGCGGCCTAACGCGCTAACGAGCTGTGCTGTCAGGGGTGTGGCGCAATAGGCTAATGAGTTTCTGCTGTTGGGTGTGGCCTATTATGCTAATGAGTTCCGGCTGGGCTAAAGAGCCCTGGTCAGAGCTGTTCTCTCAAGGGCAGTCCTCGAAAGAGCTCTCTCAGCCCCGCCTACCTCACAGGGTGTCTGTGGTGGGGAGGGGGAGGGAAAGGAGATTGTAAACCGCTCTCTCTGAGTGAAGGGCGGGGTATAAATCCAATCTCTTCCCCTCCCCCTCCCTCCCTTCCTGTTTGGTGCAGTGGTTAAGAGTGGTGGGCTCTAATCTGGGAGAACCGGGTTTGATTCCCCACTCCTCCCCATGCAGCCAACTGCATGACCTTGGGCCAGTCACAGTTCTCTCAGAGCTGTTCTCTCAAGAGCAGTTCTCAAAGAGCTCTCTCAGCCCCACATACCTCACAATGTGTCTGTTGTGGGGAGAGGAAGGGAAAGGAGACTGCTAACTGCTCTGAGACTCTGAGTGAAGGGCAGGGTATAAATCCAATCTCCCCCTCCTCCTCCTTTAAGTGAGTTTTTGGTTCTTAACTCCTCCTCCTCCTCCTCCTCCTCCTCCTCCTCCTCCTCCCCATTGATAATGAACATAAGAGAAGCCATGTTGGATCAGGCCAGTGGCCCATCCAGTCCAACACTTTGTGCCACACAGTGGCCAAAACCCAAGTGCCATCAGGAGGTCCACCAGTGGGGCCAGGAAAATAAATAAATAAATGCCAAATAAGAAATAGGCATGGTTTCCTGTCCTGAAAAACACAAAAGGCTCTACATCTGACAATAATACTAGAGATAAGATCAGAATTTCAACCGCCAATCCACATGCAAAAGAACCTCCTCAGGAGACAATCCATATACAAAAGAACCTCCTCAGGAAAGCTCCTCCATTAGCATGACACAGCCTGGGGAACTCCTACAAGAGAATGACTCAGCCCTACCCCACCTTCCTGAGTAGACATAAATCACCTGCCTACCATTTTTCTTCTCACCTTGACACAGAGAGTACTCCGTCTTTCTGTGTTACACCTCTGAGGAGGACAGTCACAGCTACCGGCCAAATGTCAGGTCCTACAATGCCAAGACCACGGCCAGTCAGCCCGGAAAATCTACAACAGCTAATGAACTCCGGCCGTGAAAGCCGTCGACAACATACCAAAGAAGATTCTTTGGTAAAGGGACGGGGACCGCAGACTATACTACTGTGGGCTCGCTTTGCTGTCAGGAGGTCCCTATTATGTAATTTCTGCATCGTTTAACAGGACAGGTTGGGATGCTTGGGCTCTGTTTTGTTTTCAGCTCAGTTTCCGATCTCTGCCTGTTTTCACATTCCTGCACTCCAAACCCTATTGCCCTGTTCGTCGGAGGTCCCATCCTGTTGATTGTGCTTGAGTTAGGACTATTTAATCCACCTAGAGAAAGGCAGACTATGAATAATATGAATAAAATAAATCAAATAAATGGAATAAGATCAAGAAGAGCCTTCCTACCTACCCCTGTGGAAAGACGGGAAAGAAGAAGAAAAAGGGGGGGGGGGTCAAGAGGGAAAAGTAGACTTGGCAACCTCCAGGTGGGGCCTGGAGACCCCCTGAATTGCAACTGATCTCTGGGCTGCAGAGATCAGCTCCCCATGAGAAAATGCAGGGGTCCTTTCCTGCAGGAGCGCACAGGAGCGGAGCTCCGGCATCAAAGAGCTCAGGGGGCGGGCACATGCAACAAGCCCCTCACCCCCTGTTCCCAGTAGCTCCAGGCCATGGGGGGAAAGAAGCCTCTTTCTTTCCCTCCTTCTTTCTTTCTTTTTCTTTCCTTCCTTCTCTCCCTCTCTCCCTCTTTCTTCTTTACCTCCTTATTTCCTTCTCTTTCTTTCCCTCCTTCTTTCCTTCTCTTTTCCCCCTCCTTCCTTCCTTCCTGCACAGATCTGCGCATCCCCCCCCCAACAGCTAGCAATCCAAAACAGTCCAGTGGAGCCTGAGCGATGGGTGTTGCCTTCTAACACACTTCCGGTGACACCAGGGGGTGTGGCATATGCAAATAAGTTATGCTAATGAGCTCCTGCACCTCTTTGTCTATGAAATGACCCCTGCTTACATTCCTTAGATCTACATGTTTTCTAATGAAGGAGTGATAAATACTGTTTGGGAACTTGAAAAACGAGGACTTTTCAGTCTGCTTTGCACACTTCATAGCTCCATCAGGACATCTTAAAGAGTAAACATTCCAGGAGCATAGCCAAAACAGTGTCAAGAACAACTACATCAAGATTTTGTATTGTTCTGTATTGTACTCGTGTTATTATTAACTGGCTTTGCTTATGTCCATGAAATGTACTTCACATAAGAATGAACGTTGTCTAATGCAGGAAATTTGCTATATAAGGACAACTAAGTGTATTAAAGTTATTGAAGAGTGATTTTCTTTGGTGAGCCCAATTTTTCCCCATGAGAAAACGGCTGCCTTGGACAGTAGACTCTGGAGGAGGAGGAGGAGGAGGAGGAAAAGGAGGAGGAGGAGGAGGAGGAGGAGGAGGAGGAGGAGAGATTGGATTTATACCCCGCCCTTCACTACTCATAGGAGTCTTAGAGCGGTTTACAATCTCCTTTCCCTCCCTCTCCCCACAACAGACACCCTTTGAGGCAGGTGGGGCTGAGAGAGCTCTCCTGAGGACTGCCCTTGAGAGAGCAGCTCCGAGAGAACTTGTGATTGACCCCAGGTCACACCAGCAGCTGCACGCAGAGGCGTGGGGACTCAAACCCAGTTCTCCCAGATTAGAGTCTGCGCTCCTAACCACTACACCAAACTGGCTCTCTGTATAGTGTATTAGGGTTGCCAGCTCTGGATTGGGAAATAGCTGGAGATTTGGGGGTGGAGCCTGTGGAAGGCGGAGTTTGGGAAGGGGAGGGACTTCGGTAAAAATATAATGCCATGAAGTCCACCCTCCAAAGCAGCCATTTTCTCCAAGGGAACTGATCTTGGTCAGCTGGAAATCAATTGGAACATCCAGGGATCTCTAAGTGCCACCTGGAGTTTGGCAACCTGATGTACCGTAGATTTAAGCTGAAATCGTTCCCCAGATTCCCCTCTTATGCTCCGTACCCCAAATCTGTATTAATTTCCCAGCCCTCCTGGCAACCGGTGGGGAATGGGAGGGGAGCTTACCGGGAGTAGCAGGGAGGCCCATTCAACATACAGAGACTTGTCCGTGTCACTGCCCATGTGACCCGGATGTGATGTCATCACATCCAGGATGTTGAGGCGACACTCTGGTATTTGGGCAAAAACGCTATGGTAAATCTGGCTTCTACTATAGAGTTTCTGCCCAAATATCAGAGTGTTGCCCTGACGTCCTGGATACGATGATGTCACCTCTGGGTCACACGGGCAGTGACGTAGACACGCCGCTGCATGTCAGATGAATCTCCCTCTTTTTCGGGGTAAGTTCCCCCCCCCACTGGCCAGCTGATCAGCTAGGGTTGCCAAGTGTAAAGTACTTACCGGTGGGGGAGCCTTGCTGGGTTCTGGGAGCCATCCCTGGATCTGTGTATGCGCGCGCGCAAAGCACGCGCACACCACCAGCACATCACCGGAAGTGACGCATGACGTCAATCACATTGAGGGCATGGCCCCGATCATTGGAGGGGAAACCATAGAGTTTTCCCTCCAACGATCGGGGCCACGACCCCAACATGATCTATGTGGTTGCTCTGGTGATACAGCCACGCTGCGCTTTGGGGGGCGGAGTTCCCCCCTGGGCCCGATTCCGCGGCAGCAGAAATCGGGCCTCCAAAGCGGGGATTTACCCGCCCCCCGCCCCCACTTGGCAGCCCTATGATCGGCGGCAGGGAAATGGGTCCTGGCATCAGGGGACCTCCACCTCCACTTGGGGGGGTCTGGCAACCATAGGCCATAGTTAGTCATCCTATAGGAAAGGGAGGGGAATACATCCTTACCAGCAGGGGGAGCCAGCAGGCGCTGGCAATCACCATGATAATCAGCAACTGGACCATCATCTCCACTTCACTGTCTCTCCGGCGTTGTACCGACTCTGAGTCGTGGTAGACCCGGCAGAGGGTCACGACGCTGAACGTGTTGAGGAAGAAAGAGAGGCCCACGCAGAAGATGCCCAGCAGGGCGAAGATGAGACAGAAGGCCCTGTTCCCGGCATCGTGGAGCAGCGTGAGGAAGCACCAGGAGTTGGGGAACTGTAGCGTGTAGTCCCCGAGGCCCAAGATGGGCAGCAGGCCTAGGAAGAACCCCAAGGCCCACACCAAGCACACCAGGATCCAGGCCCGGCGTTTCGACATGTTGACCGAGCGGGAGAAGGGCCGGTAGATGCCCAGGAAGCGTTCCCCGGCCATGGTGGCGCCCAGCAAGAGGGGGCACTGCCCAAAGAAGACCATGGCGAGGCCCATGAAGTTGCAGAGGTGGCAACCCGGGTCCACGTTCCTCCAGTCGAACTGGATGAAGTGGTAGGGAACCACGATGCAGGAGGTCACCAGGAGGCCCATGAAATCCGTCACCACCAGGCCGCAGAGGAAGACCAGGAAGGAGGACCGGGCGCGGCTGTGCATCTTCCGCGAGGAGTTGACCAGCACGCAGAAGGCAAAGAGGTTGGAGGAGAGGCCGATGAGGCCGAAGATGGTGGAGAACCAGGGCGAGGTGAGGTAACCCCGGTTCCCGTCACTGACGTTCTTTCCGCGGAAGCAGGAGCCCAGCCGGCCGGCGTCGCTGACGTTCCCAAGCTCCATCTTCGGGAACCGGGGGGGCCTGTCCCCCTCACACAAACTACCACCTTCCAAGGGACAGTGTGGAGCGGGGCCTGGCGGGGGCTCCTGAGGGAGAGACGCGGCCCCGCCTAGGCCTCACGCCATTCATCTCGTTGCGGGATGCAAACTCCTCAGGCAGACCGTGGCGCGAATTCTTCCGACAGACTGGGAGAGAAAGACGGGATATAATTAGCTCGCAGGGCTGCCGTTCGATGACACACACACACACACACACCCCAACCAAAGGTCTGTGCTGTGGAAAGTCCAAACACAAAAATCTGGATTCCGACAGGGCCTCTGCATACATTTATGCTTTCCTCATAGGGTTGCTGGGTCTGGGTTGGATACTTTGGGGGTGGAGCCAGGAGAGGGGAAGGGCCATAGAGTCCACCCTTCACAGCAGCCATTTTCTCCAGGGGGGCTGATCTCTGTCAGCTGGAGATCAGTTGTAAGAGCGGGAGATCTCCAGGCCCCACCTGGAGGCTGGCAACCCTGTTTCCTCACATCCTTCCCAATCTCATCAGATCTCAGAAGCAAGGTCAGCAAGTCTGGCTTGGAAAATACCTGGAGACCTTGGGGGTGGAGCCGGGAGAGGGCGGGGTTTGGGGAGGGGCCTCAGCATGGCCCAATGCCACAGAGTCCGCCCTTCAAAGCCGCCATTTTCTCCAGGGGAGCTGATCTCTGTCAGCTGGAGATCCATTGCAAAAGCGGGAGATCCCCAGGCTCCACCCGGAGCCTGCAAACCAAAGAGAGAGATCACGGGATGGAAGTTGAGAAGAAGCAAACAACCGTGATCTATTATGCCAAACAAGTCTCCAAAGACCAGACATTTCTTTTTTCCAGTATTTGGTTTACTGGAAGCAATTCAAACGCCATCAACACCAATGAGCCATGCATGCTCTCCAGTAGCATCTCATAGTGACACTCATTAAATCAAACATTACACTAACGAATTTGAGGAGTGTCACTATGAAACACTACTAGAGAGTTTGTCAAATGGATTAATATTGTATTTCAACGCCACCCACTTTGATAAAGTTATACACGGAACGAGATATATGCATGGCTCGTTGGTGTTGATGGCGTTTGAATTGCTTCCACTAAACTGAATATTGATAAAAGAAATTTCCGGTCTTTGGAAACTTGTTTAGCATAATACCTCACGGTTGTTTGCTTCTTCTCGACAACCAGGGGTCATTTCCTGCAGGAGCGCACAGGAGCGGAGCTCCGGCAATAAAGAGCCCAGGGGGCGGGCACATGCAACAAGCCCCATTCCCTGCTCCCAGCAGCCCTCAGTCAGAGCAAGAGGCAGTCGGGTAAATTGCAGAGCCCCCCCCCCCGGCCCCCCGGTCCAAAACAGTCCAGTGGCACCTTTATGGCCAAGTTTAATTCAGGTACAAGCTCTCCCTCCTCTTTGCGGGCAGATCTGCATCCCCCCCCCCAATAGCTAGCAATCCAAAACAGTCCAGTGGAGCCTGAGCGGTGGGTGTTGCCTTCTGACACACTTCCAGTGATGTCAGGGGGTGTGGCATATGCAAATAAGTTATGCTAATGAGTTATGCTAATGAGCTCCTGCACCTCTTTTTCTACAAAATGACCCCTGTCAACAACCCACCTGGAGGCTGGCAGCCCTAGGGTCAGCCCTGGTTAGTACCTGGCTGGGAGACCACCGAGGAAGTCCAGGGTCCTAGAATCATAGAGTTGGAAGGGACCTCCAAGGTCATCTAGTCTAACCCACTGTACAAGGCAGGAAATTTCACAAACACCTCACCCTCCACACCTGCAGTAACCGCTGTTCCATGCCCAGAAGATGACAAAAAACCTCCAGGATTGCTTCCTGACCCCAAAGTGGCAATCAGCATTTCCCTGGGTGTGTAAGGAAGGGCCACGAGAACTAAGCACTGAGGCAACCCTTCCTGCCCTCCCTCTCATGATCTGCCGAAGTTCACAGCATCAGCATTGCTGTCAGATGGCCATCGGGCCTCTGTTTGAAAACCTCCCAAGAAGGAGAGCCCGCCACCTTCCGCTGAGGAACCGCTATGTCAGGATGTTCTTCCGAATGTTAAGCCGAAAATTCTTCTGAATCTGATTCGATTTCAACCCGTTGGTTCTGGTCCAACCTTCTGGGGCCACAGAAGACAACTCTGCACCATCCTCTCTAGGACAGCCCTTCAGGTGCTTGAAGATGGTTATCATCTCAGTCAGAGGCAGGCAGGGGTCATTTCCTGCAGGAGCGCACAGGAGCGGAGCTCCGGCAGTAAAGAGCCCAGGGGGCGGGCACATGCAACAAGCCCCACCCCCTGCTCCCAGCAGCCCTCAGTCAGAGCAAGAAGCAGCCAGGTAAGTTGCAGAGCCCCCCCCCCCGGTCCAAAACAATCCAGTGGCACCTTTAAGACCAAGTCTTATTCAGGTACAAGCTCTCCCTCCTCTGCGAGGACAGATCTGCACATTCCCCCACCCCCCCAATAGCTAGCAATCCAAAACAGTCCAGTGGCACCTCTTTTTCTACGAAATGACCCCTGCTTACATTCCTTGGATCTACATGTTTTCTAATGAAGGAGCAATAAATACTGTCCAAAACAGTCCAGTGGCACCTCTTTTTCTACGAAATGACCCCTGGAGGCAGGCAATGGCAAACCACCTCTGTTTTTTCTTCCCTGTCTTGGATAGCCCCAGCTAACCTGGTCTAATCAAATCCCGGAAGCTAAGCAAGGTCATCCCTGGTCAGTACTTGGACGGGAGGCCACCACCAAGGAAGTCCTGTGTTGCTATGCAGAGGCGGGCCATGGCAAACCCACCTCTGTCCGTCTCTCGCCTTGAAAACCCCATAAGGGGTCACCCTAAATTGACTGCAACTTGACAGCACCTTCGACCACCAAAACAGGGGTGCGTACCTGTTATTCCTGCACTTCTCATTCACCTGTGTGGTGTTCATTTGCCACAGCACACCCTTATTCCAAGCTGGCTACTGAATTTTGGAAGGGGTGGGAATGAGGTGGAGGGGGCACGTGTGTGGAGGAAGGTTACCGCAGGCAGGAAGCGATCCTTTTGTGTGGCAACTGCTGCCAACACAAAAGAGAGACAGAGAGATCCAACCCCTGCCTCCATTTTACCTGCCGCACTGTAGGAATCATCAGTGGAAGCCCCACTATAAAACTCAAGGATTCTCCTCCTCCTCCTCCTCCTCCTCCGCCTCTTCTTCTTGGCTAGCCTGAGCAACTGCAGGGTTGCCTAATAAAGAAGACTGATTTCTGTTTACCTGATTCAGAATTGCGCACACCAGATGCTGCACAAAACAGCAAGTCAGGAGACGTATGGTTGCCAGCCTCCAGGTGAGGTCCGAAGATCTCCCAGTATCACAACTGGTCTACAGACCACAGAGATCAGTTCCTCCACATGCAGCCAGCTGGGTGACCTTGGGTCACTCCCAGTTCTGTCAGAGCAGTTCTCTCAAGAACAGTCCTCGAAAGAGCTCTCTCAGCTCCAACTACCTCACAGAGTGTCTGTTGTGGGGAGGGGAAGGGAAAGGAGTTTGTAAGCCGCTTTGAGACTCTGAGTGAAGAGCAGGGTATAAATTCAATCTTCTTCTTCTACCTCCCATATCCCCTGCTGGTGGCCAGAGGGAACTAGCAACCCTAATGGGAACCAAATCTCCTTCTGGTGAACAAAGTCAGTGAAATATGAGACACCATAGCAAGGAAGAAGAAGAAGAAGAAGAAGAAGAAGAAGAAGAAGAAGAAGAAGAAGAAGAAGAAGAAGAAGAAGAAGAAGAAGAAGAAGAAGAAGAAGAAGAAGAAGAAGAAGCGGCGGAGGAGGAGGAGGAGGAGGAGGAGGAGGAGGAGGAATTGGATTTATACCCTGCCCTTCACTACCCAAAGGAGTCTCAAAGCAGTTTACAAACTCCTTTCCCTTCCCCTCCCCACAACAGACATGTGAGGGAGGTGGGGCTGAGAGAGCTCTTTCGAGAACTGCTCTGACAGAAGTATGGCTTGCCCAAGGTCATCTAGCAAGTGCAAGTGGAGGAGTTGGGAATCAAACCCGGTTTTCCCAGATCAGAGTCCGCAATCTTAACCACTACACCGAACTGGCTCTCTGGAAGGATGCAGTTAAACCTTTAAATTTGAGGTGGGGGTGGGGGATTCTGATTATCACAAAATCTGAGCTCCCAAAATCTGAGCACCCTGCCGTGCTCCAGTTCCCAAGGCCAGCGCTCTGAAGGCCAGGACTTCCTGTGCGACCCCACAAGGCCCTACGCAGGAGGAAGAGGAAAGAATCGTGACATCTGCCTGACAGATCAAACGCACATCTGCTTCCGTTTACTCCAAGCCATAAATCACTCCTGTAAGAGAGAGAGAGAGAAACTCCCCCATCCTTCCCATAAATGATGCAATCTGAAGACGTTCGATGGGGACCCGGGGTCATGGCGACTGGCAAGGTGGGCTGTCCTCCATGACCCAGTCGAGGGGGCTTCCCACTGGGATCGAGACATGGTAGCAAAGTCCCACGGAGCGCATTGGGAATTGCAACTTGAAAAGGCGTCCCCTTCGTGGGATGCTGGAAAGTGGCGAACCGAGACAGGACAGTTTCCCAAAAAGCCCGCTGGATCCAATCAAGGGTCTCTCTCATTGAGCCTCCTATTTCTCGGCATCCAGGAATCAAAGGCAGCGTTCCCTCTAAGCTGAGTTAGCGTGAGCTAGCTCACAGTGTTTTAGCCTCCAGCTCACATATTTTTGTCTCCGCTCAGGAAGGATGGCTCCAGAGCAAACCAGTTTATGCAGTAGCCAAATCGCTCGCTCACAACTTTAATGCCAGTAGCTCACAAAGTAGAATTTTTGCTCACAAAGCTTAGAGGGAACACTGGCTAGAATGCTTTTCATAGAATCATAGAATGTGAGAGTTGGAAGGGATCTTGCAGGCGATCTAGTCCAACCCCCTGCACTCTGCAGGAGCATAGCCGAAAGATAGTCCTACCTACAACATACCCGAAAGATAATCGTCCGTCGTCCAGCCTCCGCTTGAAAATGTCCAGCGAAGGAGCATCCACCACCTCCCGAGGCAGACTGTTCCACTGTTCAACCACTCTTACAGTTAGGAAGTTTCTCCTGATATTTAGCCGGTATCGACTCCCTTGTAACTTCCACCCGTTAGATCTAGTCTTGCAATCC